TGGCTGGGCAACTTGCAATAGCTGTCTCACTCTTCTTCCTCCTCACCTGATCCCTGTGGCTGACCCAGCTGCCCCTGGGGTGTGATGCCAGGTATTCTGAAGACAGCTGCAGCAGAACGCGTGTACAGAGGATTCTCTGTGTAAACGATGGTCATCTCCTGGCCCTGCTCCTCTCTCAACAATGAGCGTAGCAAAGGACACTTGTTTGGGGCATAGGCATTGGACTCTTCTCTTTCTGAAAGCTGGTTGTTGGTCCTTAAATAGCCCTTGTTCAGGAACAACCTCTAAAATTAAAAACGACAAACTGTGATAGTAATAATAAGACTTTCAAGGTAGAAACTCATCCCCCTACTTTTTCTGTCTCTCTCTTACTTTCTCACTCTCGCCTTAAAATCAGCTGTTATTTTGTTCAGTTCATTCAGCAAGCAATTAGCAGTGAAGCTACAGACTCTGGCGGTAATGGATACCCAGAATCAGCTGAGTTTCCAAGTACTTAGAAGATAGGTGGGCATCTGGGAAGCCAGGCAAAGGTGAGGTATTCCCTGTGCAAAGCTTTACAAGTTCCCATGTTTTCTCCTTCAAGGGACTGACCTCTGTGGCTACCTTCGGCCAACCTTGTTTCTGAGTATGGTTTAAGAGTAAAGGGACTAGTATAAAAATGTAAAGCATCACAGCACACCTGCGCATAAAAGGAGCCATCAAGGAAGTCCTTGTCATCAAGGAAACTGAGGCCTAGAGTTAGCAAGCCATACACATAAAAAGTTAGCAGCAAGGACTGCAGAAAATACTAGAATAAAGGCAGTGAGACTGTGGTCAAATTCCCAGTCAGTCCCAAGTGAGTCACTTTAGAATAAGAATGGTAGTTCTCGTTTTTTTTTTTTTGCTTCACTCTTCTTCCATATCTTAAACACTTCCTACCATAGGATACTGAGCCCCAAAATATGAATGAATAGGAGGAGAAATCCTTTGCGTAGACGCAGCGTTTTGTATTTTCAGCCTCCTCCTCAATCCTTAATTAAGCTTTGCAGCCACCCTGTGAAGCTGGTCATTACCACTGGGTGAGGAAGCAGAGTCCCACAGGAGCTCTGTGACTTGCCCAAGCATTCGAGCCAGACAGGCCTGGCAGGGTGAGCCTCTCCAGTTTCTGATGCCCACGCCCCGTGTGCAATCCAGCCTCGTCACCCTGGGTCTTGGCGCAGGGAGTAAATAAACAAATGACTACTACATTGCTTTTACTTTTGGGGAGCAATGGGTTCTTATTCAAAATAGGAACAAGGGGCGAGACAGACGGCATCTCTAGTTGTGGGAGAAGAATTGGACTGAATTTGGGAGCTTAGAGTGCTGTTCTTTCTGAAGCTGTGTCTGCTTCTCCATCGCCCTCTCGAACTCCCATACCCAGGTTTTATTTAGCAAAGGTGTCATATGTCTTGCTGGGCAGTGGGGATTTAGCAGTGGTACCCTGAGGTCTACTTTGTTGTACGCCAGGCCAAAACCATGTGCAGCTACCGTGAAGTATGTGCTGTAGTAGAGGTGTACATGGAGAAAAAAGAGAAGCTCAGAAGAGGAAAATTACCTTCCCTGAGGGTCAGGGAAGGCTCCACAGATAAAATGATATTTAAATAGAACCTAAAAAGAGGAGTAGGAGTTTGCTAGTTGGAAACAAGGGAAAAGAGCATTTGGGCAACTGTGGCAGAGGTTTGATAAATTATGACCTCAGAATCCACCCCCGTATTCAAATCATGTTCCCTATAACCTACAGTGTAAAACTAAAACAATAAGCTCCGTTCTCAACTCTTATGTCAAACAAGCTCTCTCTGTGCTCCAATGTGTGTCTCAGTGCAATTTCTCCACACCGCGTGGAAGGCCAAGAACCCAGGCCAGGATTTCTGAGAGCTCCAAGATTTGAATGTATGAGGAAGCACCGGGACTATGTTTTCCAGTTCACCTCTGATGGTGAATTTCTGCTTTTCACTGGTTCATTTGTTTATCCCAGGTCTTTGATATAGCAGGTGCATGTGTGTCTGTGTGTACATGTGTATATGTGTATGACTGTGTTGTGTACTTAAATGGCATGTGCCACATGTTCACACAAGGCATATATATATATATATATATATATATATACACACACATATGAAATATATCCCTTGTTTTGAAAAAATCTATTTCACTAGACATTTTACTGGGGTGGAGGGGCAGGGTGGAGAATAGGTAGCAAAGGATGGATTTCTTTCACAGAAACACAAACAACTTCAAATTGATCCTTAGAGACTTTGCTGTGGGAGCCCTCTGGCAACTGAACCACCGTGGAGCTTTTTACTGAACCACTTTGCCACATGACCCTTTCTCTCCCTCCTTTGTCCTTTTCCCCACTCCCTTCTCTCTCCTTCCTCTTCTCTCCTTTCTCCAATTTCACCCCACAGTCTTACCTAGCTCAGTCACATCTCTTGGTTCTTACTGCCCATTTCGTCAAGTCTATAGCTTATCATGGAATTTTCCTAAAGAAAGACAGTTCCTAAGAGTAATTTTAGTATCATAGTGCTTTTAATTTCCATTTGTCTGTCTATGACTCACCCTATCTCCACACATAGCATAGTCCCTGATAATAAGTGGATAATCGATATTATTTGATCTATGGGTTGATTCATCAATTAAACAGTGCTTTAAAAGGGTCTGTCTTGTCCTCATTTGTCTATACTGTAATTGTGGCCCTGAATGCTGAATAAAAGGAGGCTGATCCACCTTAGTAATGCAGGAGAGTGGCCGCTGCGACTCGGCAGTGCCTCCTGGAGCCTGGCAGCAGAGCCACGCCATTAAGCCAAGTGCCTTCTGGTCAGTGCTGCATAAAGGCCAAAGGAAGGACACACATCAGCTGCAGGACTGTTTGCTTCTTGGGAAAGAGAAAGAAAGAAGCTTTTAGTTTCTTTTAAAAAGAGCTCCCGTAGCAATTGCGAAGTCTGAGAATGAGGACGTGCGTTTACCAAGTCTTCGCATTATTATATGTTTTAAATATTTTGTAGTTTGCAGAAGATTCCACCATCGTGGAAAAAAAGGAAGAAAGAAAAAAAAAAGAAAATCCCGTATCAAAGTTGTCAACTGGAAATGAAGTTGCCCCTGCTCCTGAAGGGAAATCTCCAAATCTGATGTTCTCCCAAAAAGAGATGTATCTGGGACCCTCTACCCCCACCCCCAAACAAAAGATGGCTCCCAATGATTATTATCAGCAGGAGGTAAAAGTTTCAAGTTTCTCAAGGAGTCTTTGTTGCTTGAGGCCTTTGTCTCTTACCACATTTGCGTCATTTAACCATTAAAGGTCGATGGTGAAGACTCGGAAACCAGTTCACAGAAGCATCACAAATCACTGTATCCCTGATTCTTATAAGCACTTGGTGAATAGTCTCTCTCTCTCACCTCCCTGTGGAAGGGATTTCACAAAGGGCAAAGGTATTTTCTCAAACTAGTCCCATCCTCAGGTCCTTTTCAAATCAACATGAAATTTGTATTACAAAATGAATCATTAAAAAAAAATACATAACTTCCTGGGAAGGTACAAGAGAAATGCACAGACATCCTGAGGCCACTTTGGTTACTAATAAGCCTCAGAGAAGGCCGAGTCACGAGCTTCTGGCCAACTTGCTACACACTGTCCTGAACCTTCCTTCTCAGTTTATTTATTTATTTTTCTCCCCATTCTAGAACAGCCAGCAAATGATTTCACACCTTTTTGTTTAGTTGCTAAAAGCAACACAATAACTCCCCTCAGGGCTGCCTCTGTGGGTTCCAAAAATAAAATGGGCTCATTTTCATGCTAAGCATGTAAAGACTCATAGGGATTCTAATGAAAGGGAAAGGAAGGAAAGCAGGAGAAAAGAGGGGTGGGGGGGTCATTAAGGAGAGACAGTCACCCCTGCCTGCAGGGATAGGTTAAAAAAAAAAACAAAAAAAAACAGTCATCAGCTACAAATTAAAAGGTGATCTAATTTAACAACTTAAACTTGCCAACCCTTTCTTCTAGGCCTAAACCCAGGGTTATGCTTGGAACACAAACTATGTACCAAGTAGAGTAGTACCCACTTCAGCCTTCCCAGTATGAGTTCCCTTGGGTAGGAAATAAACAGTAACTTGCTTCCAGATCAGAAGAGAAAACCATGTGTCTTTGAGATTCTAGGTTAACTTCTCTGCATCTTTGTCACTACCAACAGCTGACTCAACCTTGTTCCATACATTACATAGTAGAGAGTATGCTGTGTGGTGCAGCTCACCTCCTAGGTCCTGCTACCCAGCCAAGAATTTGTGAAAAGAGTTCCATGAGCCCTTGCCAGGAGTGTGCATGCTGCCCAACAACAGAAGGAACACCGCTGACCACTGACTGAGGTTTGCAGGGCTGAAGTGTAAACACCCAGCGATGGATCCTGCTCTTTATATTCTCAGTCAGCCCTTTGCTTATGCACAAGAGCAAACTATTAGCGATTCCCTCCATTGACTGAGCCAAAATCTGCCTCCCAGTGGCTTCTGCTAGTTGGTTCTAGATTTGTCCCTCACCACACAAGCACAAAATCTTTTATGAGAAACTTCAAATAGTTGATAGCTATCAGCTTCACAGTTCCTGCCCCTCCCATTTCTTCTCCTTAGGACGTGATCTAGTTTGCACTATGTTCCTCTTACAGCACAGCTCAGAAGTCTGGCCCGCACAGAGCACAGTGGCAAGACTAACTCCCTGAGCTGCACCAAGCGATTCACTCAGCCGAGCTTACCTGAGCCATTTCTTTGAGGAGATGTGTTATTCTGTGGAATCAGACTCATTTTCAAGGTCTGTGAAGAAAGGATGTGTTAAGCCCATGATAAATAGGATTGCTGATAAAATCTAACTACTACTTAAAGGAACACAATTTTTAAATCGTTTTAAAGGATCTATTTATATATAGATATTCAACATGCAAATAATAAGGCCTTTCTTTTTTTTTTTTTTCTTTGTTTTTTTTTTTTTTTCATTGAAACAGATACCCAAAGTGCCTCAACTTGGATGTAAGTTGTTCTGTGTCTACTATTTGAAAATTTTCTAACTGCATTTCATTAAAATTATTCTGGGATTCAGATTTTCTGTCAAGGAATCATAGGCTCTGTAGAAATGGAAAGGACATACAAAGATTTTCAAATGCAGTCACAAACTTTCAGTAAGATATCATTTCCCCATTTTACATTTTTATTTGGAATTCATTCCCCACATGCTCTGCAGCACACATTATTTTGGATTTACTCGGAGGTGTAAAATATAGTCCCTTTCTCTCATTGAATTGACATTCCTGAGGGGGAAGCAGAGAAGCAAACTTTTAAATAAGTTCATGTAGTGTTGCTATGAAGGGTTATGAAGAAAATAAAATAAGGCTGTGATAGAGAAAGACTAGGTCAAGAAAGACAAATTTTAGGAGGAAATATTCAACCTAACTTTTGAGAAGATTTCAACTGAAGCATATACAGAAGAAACTACCTCCAAGCTAGGAAAATAGTAAAAGCAGAGCCCCGCTGTAGAAGAACACTGGGTATGTTCTGGGACGTGAAATCAGGCCAGTACAGCTCGAAAATATTAATAGAAGGGGAAGCGATTAACAGATAACGTTAACAGGGGAAGAAGTAAGAAGGGACTAGATCACATGGAACCTTAAAGGTTGTGGTAAGGAGTTTGGAATTTGAAGGATTTTTATTCTAAGTACAGTGAGAAGCCACTGGAGGGTTTTAGGTAGAGAAAGGCATGATTTAATTTACCTTTCAAAAAACGCTCTCACTGCTTGCTATGCTCTGCTGTGCAGAGATGGATCATATAGTATTTCAAACCAGGAGAGAAACTATAGTTTGGAAGCTGTCATAATGGCCTAGGCAAGAGATGACAGTGGCCCTTACTATCAGGGTACCAGTGGAAATAGAGAGTAATGGATCACTTCTGGAGATATTTTTAGAGGTGGGACCAAGAGGACTAAGAGAGAAATAACTGGAGTCCAGGGGAACTGAAATGACTTGCCTAGGAGAAGAGAAGGTGAAGGACACCAACAAAAGTTGAGCACTTAGTAGTGCCATGTACTTTAATGTAAATACCAGAAACCCTGTGAGGTTTTTTTTTTTTTTAAAAAAAAAAAAAAAAACTATTTCATATTAAGGATCCTGAGGTTCAGAGAGGTTAAGTAATTAACTCCAAATCAAACACAGGGTCAGATTAAGCTGGGACTCAGACTCAGGACTATTTGACTCCCGATCTCAGGTCCTCTTCCCACTATTCCATGTTGCTTTCCAAAGTGGGGTTAGAGAATGAACCCTGAGCACAAATTTCCAGGCTAGGACTCTATCTATATGTCTTTTCTTCCAAGTTATTGATGATTAATTTTTACCCAATGCCATCATTTGCCACAGCTCCTCCAGATGTCATTATATTTAACTGAAACTAACACTTTTTTCTCCCATTTCACGTCTACCCCTTCCCTTGCTCTTCACAACCCTGAGTCAGGATCAGCAACTTTCTGTGCAGTTTAACTACCACAGACATGAGCCCTTGTGTGGCCTCCCTTCCTAAGGAGCTGTAGCTGGAAATTGCTTGTGCAACCCGATGACAACTTATCTATATTTAGCAGACAAAGCAGTGGCAAGGATCTGTCCAGCTCAATCTGTTTTACAATTTCAACGTTTGTAATGTGCTAGACAATCTCCTGAAAGGCACATTGACCCTGACAGTATCTGAGTAGAAGGAAGTTTCTTCCATCTCATAGGGCTGTCCAGTGAAAGCCTGGTTGCAAGAAATTTTGTGGACACCCACTGAAGAGCAAGGACTTTATGTACACAACACTCCCCAGCTCCCCGAAATGGAAAGTCACTGGTTTTGTGGCTGCTTGGTCGGGTTTTAAGTGTTATTCTAAAAGGAAAACAAGCCTGAAAGGTTTAAGGGGGAAATGGACTATTACCTAATTGAGTTTAAAAGTGATGTGTCCAGTACTTGGTTTTTATTTCTTTTCAATGTAGCATAGAAAAGAAATACAGAATGCTGCTAAAGTTTAAGAGCACAGATAAACTTGCTTGGTGGGGGTGAAAAAAATGCAGCAGGTATTCTTAAGTGCTTACTATGATGAAATCATTGCCACGGAAGCTGACTATCACTTACACTTAAAGTGACTAATTCCAGGATGAGGCACAGTTTAGCTTTTCTCGAGCCTGACTGAACTGGATACAGTATATTATCCATGACTCTGACCCTCTGCACAGCTGGTCAGCCAGAGAGAATTTCTTTTCTAATGCAAAGCAGAACAATTAAGAAGAGCTAAGGAAAATAGGACAGTAGAGACTATTAAAGAAAAATGGGAATCTTCAAGACAGTAAAATAGCAGGAATTTATCACAAAAAGGGAATTCACAGAGGGAAAATTGTATCCAGTGAGCACTTACTTAGCCCTCTAAATTTTAATATGCAGGGTGTATCAATCCTTGTCAAAGAAGAAAAGCTATTGCAAAAGAATTCCTATTAGTTTTAGAAATAGCAATTTTGAAAGGTAGTTTTTTCATACCTCTTCCAGTCCCAACCTCATTTTGGGTTAAATCTTATTCAGAGGAAAAGCACTTGGTTTAGAAATGTCCTGTCTCATTTTCACAAAATCTCTTCTAATGAGATGAGTTTTGGTGTTGCTGTGTCTATTAAGGTAAAAATGTGGGGAAAAAAAAAAAAGAGAAAATCTACTTTTTATACCATTGAGCTTCTTGGAATTGGATTTTATAACCATATTCCAGAAATTAATTAATAGATCATTACTCATGGGGGAAAAAACCTTCATGCAATTGGGGCGGGGGGGGGGATGAAAATATACCTAAACTTTTAAAAAAGGGAAAAGTCACTTATATCTCCACCACCCTATGATATGCACTCTTTACAAGCCTCAAAAAAAGAAAAATTATTCAGCACATACCTTAAGGAACACTAACAGGATCGCTGTAATTCAGGCTTTCTCTCATTTTTCATTTTGCGACAATTTCTGGCAATTTTCTACAGCTACATGGGTTGCTCTACTAGTGCCCTAGAAGCACAAGCAGAGATGATCTTTCAACATTAAACATCTTAATCCCCTCACTGAAAATTTTCTTTTCTTGAGATGAACAAAAAGACATCTAATTCTTCTTTATGTTATTATTCCTATGACGATCAAGAAACCGAGAAAATCCTTTCTGATTTTCTGTGTCATTGCACCAGCCCCACCCCTTCATAGACACAAGAACTAACACTATCATTTTCACCTAAGAACTAGAAGTTCAAAGGCAGAGATTCTCTTTCTCCAACAGAAGATGGCCTTCTTTGTACATCATCCTGGCCATCTTTTAAGTTGAAAGAATCCAACATAAGAGCTAAAAGAACTTCTTTTTTTCAGGTTGTTTTATTGAAGTAACATTGGTTTATATAGGTTTAGGGTGTACAGTGTTATAAATCAACATCTGTATATACTACATTAGGTTCACCACAAATCTAGCTTCCATCCTTCCCCATAAAACTGACTCATTTTCCCAGATTTGTCCACCCTTCTCCCCGCTTCTGGTAACCACCACTTTGTTTTTAAAGTGTGATTTTATTTTTGTTTGTCCATGATAAAAGAACTTCTAAAGAAAAAAAAAAAATGAGGGTGAGGTACTGTTGGAAAAAAATAGGCAGAGATCGGTGAAACAGAGAGGGAAAAAAAAACCCAAACCTAGTCTCGAATATGAAAGAACAGTATTGAATGTGTATCTATGGATCACATAGGAGCTGTGGGCAAAGTAATCAAGTGGTACAGTGATCACAAAAAAATAATTTTCTTCTCATTCCATATAACAAATTAAGTTTTAGATAGATTAAAGAAATACTATTTTTGAAAAATTAACTAAATGACAAAAGAATATATTTCTGTATATTTAATGATAAATGAGAAAATAGACAAAGGTGCTGAATTGACAATTCATAGAAGATAAAAGCTAATTATACAATAAACAATTTTTAGCCTCACCAGTGATTATAAATTAATATCAAGGGCCTATGAAATAGCAAAGATTTTTAGATAACAATCAATTTGATCAGAGATTCAGAAGACATATACTCTGTTCCAATAACTTGTTATAAGCTTCCCTGTATTATGTATTAAAGACCTGAAAAATGATGATATTCTGATCTGACAATTTTACTTCTAGTAGATTAGCCTATGGAAGTAATTTGAAATGCTAAGATTTATGTGCACACACAAAATGTGTATGTAAGTACACCCTAAATTCTAGTATTAGGAAAATTACTAATAAATGGTGGTATAATCATATCATAGAAAATTATACTGCATGACAATATTATTTTAAAAATTAATATGAGAAAATATTTTTGAATGATTGAACAAAAACATATAGTATGTGAAATTCTCTGAACATCAGTGGAAGCAAACGTCATTAAAATGAGTACACAGATTTTGAATGCCTGGAAAGAAACACCTTGTTAATGATCACAACGTCCTATCGTTAAATTATTATACTTTATTAACTATGGCTATTTTTTTTATGCCCAGAACCCAGGAACTATGAAAATCTAGTTTTTTCATCTGATTTTCTTGGGATTCTGTGCTCTCTGATCTCCCAACTCTCCAAAAAGAAAAAAATCTAATTTATTCTAGTCAAACTAAAACACATAATTCAGCAATATGCCATCATCACCCTAAGGTTTAATGTTCTTTCTACTGAAAATCAGTAAAAATAGCACATTATCCTCAAACTTGGTTTGGAAGAGGGCTATATGGAAAGTGTATAATCTAACAGCTATCCTTAAATTGCAATTTGAGGGCCACAGTCATTAGCATTCTCCACTTGCCCTGAGGCTGCACCCCAAGAAGTGCAGTGTCATGGTGGTGGCTGTTGGCCCAGGTGACAGAAACCATTAAAGAGAAGCAGAAGGCCAGGTCCGGGCCATGGTTTCATTCACCAACTTATTATGTAGGAGGCAAGGCATCTGAAGGGCCCTGAACTTGCTAACCAAAATGCTAATGACTTAGAAACAGCGAGAAATTCGAGAAATTCGTTAGTGAGATGTTTATCAAGTACCTGGAACACAAATTGACTTTCTGTGAAACATCATTCTGGAATCAAAGCCAAAATCTATCTTCTATTCAGTGGAGTAGAAAAAAAAAAGTCATGTCAGAATTAGTAAAGAAAACAACAAAGAAAGAGGAATGAAAACAAGTTGATATTAAATAGGGCTTGGAGAAAATACCTGAACTTCAGTTAGTACAAAGGAACAGAGATTTTGCGACATTAAAAAAAATTGGTTGCACTCCTCTCAGAAAGACAAATGTCTGGAACACGGAGAGGTATTGAATTTCTCAGGTCTCGGACTATGGGAGGATGTAATCATGAGGTGATATTAAATGCCTTCCTTAAAATTCTGGTTGAAGTGATTTTTAATAGGAGCTTGCGTGTTTCCATGTCTTATTTTTCACTTGTTGTAGAATAATAATTATAATTACTGTAAAAATGCCATTATCACAAAATATCAAAAATGCCCCCTGCTCATTGCCCTGAAGCCCAGAATATCACTCATTAAAAACCAGGGTTAAAAATATATTTTCATATGATTTATATTTGTATTATGGAGAGTTACAACAACATGAGAAATCCTCAAATGATAATGTTAGGTTTAAAACTGAATAGGGCCTCCCAGGTGGTGCAGCAAGTTGAGCACCGCGCTGTGAAACTGTCCGCAGCCTCTGTGGTGGGTTCAATTCCCGGCTGGCCAGGGAGAAACCCACATGGCATGGCAGACCTCTCCTGCCTCGCCCGCTGCTTTCCTCAGCTGTGTCTTTGGTCCGTCTGCCTGTTCTGCTCCCCTCTCTGTCTCTGGTGAATTCTCTCACCCTCCCGCGCCTCTGACTATACCCCAGTTCTTGTATAAATAAATAAATAAATCTTTGAAAAAAATAATAAAAACTAAAAAAATAAAAACTGAATAAAAAACTGGGTACAAAACAGAATCAAAAGATAGCAAATAACCCTATGACTAGAAAAAGACAAAATTACATCACAATATTTTTTAAATTGGGGGTACGTACTAAGCATACACTAACATATTTGAGAAAGATAGGGTATCTGGTATGTGTGCACGTATATGAATGTTGTAAGTGTTTAATGACCACTTCCTTGCTTCAAAAGAACCCCTGAAAAAGATAACTCAGTTTCCAACTTCCCAGCCACAGGGAAAGTGAAAGAATATTTAGAGATCATTGGTAACTAATGCTTTCGATCTCTCTGCAGCACCTGAAATTTAATTTCAGTCCTGTTTAAAGAGAAGTTCCCCTTGTTTAAAAAAAATAAATAAATAAAAAATAAAAGCTTTATATTGTTTCTCAGGCAGGACAAGGATAGAAGAAACTATGTGCAAGACTTGGGTTGGCAATTGATTTTAATCGTGGTTTCTATTAATTACTCAGCAATTTCAAGCAATTCTCCACTTTCACACCATAATTTCCCCTTGTGTAAAATGGAGAGGGTGATAGAAAAATTGAACTTGGGGACTTGGTCTCCAGGCACTGCTACCAACTACATATGCCTTTTGGCAAAGATCCAACTCTTCTCAGTCGAGGTCACACATCCTGCCAGCTCACAGGAGCCAGGAGGCTTAATTACCTGTAGTTTCAAAGACCTCTGAACTAGCCTAGGAAGGGGCTGTTTAAGTTCAGAGTCATATTATCCGGTTCCTGAAGCTCCTTTTATAGAGATAGAGAAGAATACAGAGATTGGGCTGTGCGCCAAAGGAAGTTTAGAAAAAAGTTTCTCTTTATATTTTGAGCTGAGGAAATACTTCATGGTTTGAGAAAAATCACATTGTACGTTCACACAAATAATATGCTTCTCAGAAAGAAATTACTTAAATTAGATATTAATTTAAGGCCATCAGAATTAAAACTGTGTTCACCACCTTTCCTTTATTAGATGGTGCTCTGTGATGATTCCTTACCAGGACAAACCTGTATAATGTGCAGTATTGCTGTTGTCCTTTTACAGGTGTTGCTATGGCATCACCTGATCTGCGTGTTCTGGAAGCCCAGGGCCAATGCCACATTGTGGGAAGTTTTCACAAAACACATTTTAAAGTTGACAATTTTATTTTAGAATTGCTCTTTATTCTAAGAGCAAGCCCTTCCTACTTTGGGGCTATTAAAATATTATTTTCTTTTACAAATTAATGGTCAAGATGATAGTTTTGGTAATTTTTTAACATTCTGTTTGATCAAACTTAAACTTATTAACAGTATGTGGAACATACCCTAATTTCCTTTTCTTAGATTTTAACATTTTACTGGTCTTCAGAATCCAAACTCTAGAAGACATCAGCATATTCCTAATTCTGTCCATATCGTAATAGGAAGAATGCAGCTTGTCCCCATTTTTAACCTGAAGTATCAGATCTTCCCCTACTAAAACATGTGCCTTTGCTAATGATAAACAGGACACTTGATATCTTTGAATGTCTTTCTCTCTCCACCCTGTAATAGGGTCCTAAAAGTAAGCCACTGAAAGGTCAAAAAAAGAAGGAAATGGGGAAAATCAATCCAAATAGTAAATAAACCAGCTGATTAATGGAGCTGGGGTCATTAACAATGAATAAAAGTATATCCCAGGTATTTTCAGAGCACACTGACATTAAAAAAAAATTTGTTGTTTATTGTTAATTCAAATTTAACTGAACATTCTGAATTTTACCTGACCACCCTACATGTAATACTTTAGAAAATATACATAGACAGCAAAATATGAATTAAAGTAGTCCCAATATATACATCACTGCTAGTGAAATACATAGTGATTATTAATGAAACATTCTTTGGTTATCTTTATGCCATCTAGTTTTCTTGTCTAAAGGTGAACTCTTTAAATGAGAAGGTTCTTATAAAACCATAGCTACTTTCCATTAAATACAGAGAAGTTGTATATGGCAAGTTGACTTGCCCCCAGTTGGCTTACCTTGTAAATGCGCTGATAACCAGTGTTTACAAGCAGGTCTTGCCACCTCACCTCAGCTGCCCACCTCTGAGCTGACTATTCAGGTGCTGCAGAGTAATTCTCTTCAACCCACACTGATGTTTCAGGAACTGAAAGTTTGTGGGTGAGAAGTGGAGAAAAATGCCAGGATCCTGTGAGGTGCCCTTAGACGTGTGCAATGTGCAGTCTACACTCTTCTTCTTGTTTTCCCTTTGATATTAAAACTAACGCAACGTTAAAAACTGAACATTTCTCACTGTCCTACCTGGCAAATATAGAGTTCCCCGCTTTAGCTTGAAACAAAAGTAGTAATAAAACTGTCAAGTAGTGCTAGTGGCCTCACTGGAAATATTTTCAGGGAAATTACTTTCCATCTACGAAGTTGACACCAATTTTCTGTTGGAGAAATGAATTGATATGAGCTGGAGATTAGCAGGGAAGTAGGATACCAGGTCAGATTCCTGGTGTGCATGTCATTAAAATGATAGGAATGTGGGCAGTGGTTGTTTTGCTTTTTCCTTGACCATCTCAAGGTTGTCTCCAAAATAATGTGGGGTGGAGGGGAGGAGGATATGGTGAGTAGTGCTAATGTATTCAAATAAATGGAGAGTGGAAAATCGAAATGTGGAATCAGAGGCGATTTTGTGGTCAATACTCAGATGTGCTGCTCGGGATTGTGAAAGGAAAGCTGGGTTAGAAGGTGTCATCCTGGTTCCGACGCCATTTACCAGAGTGATGCCAGGCAGGTCATGTTCTCCAGACATCAGTTTCCTCCCTTCACAAGTACAGGGTTGCACAGGCTGATATTTGTGGTCCTCTGTAGCCCTTCATCTGAGGAAGTGCAGGGAGAGGATTCCTCAGTTACAAGTGAACAGGACTCACCCACCTACCTTCTGAGGATTGAAAGGCAGTAGATTTGAAATAACAAAGCTCTGATCCTGGATCTCATGCTCTGACCTTCAGATGTAGAAGTGCAACCATTCTTGTGCCTCTGCTGCCCCCCTCCACCTTGTCTGAGGAAGATCAGGGTGGCCGTGTTCTTGATTCTCCTGGGAACCCACTGGGCTCTGGCACAATGGACCCTCTGGATTCACATTCACAAAGGTCACCGCTATCTTTCCTTTTCAAAGGTGTTACTTAGTTTGGGTGAAAAATAAGCCGAGTTCAACCACTGTAATTATTTATCTGGTATACAAAGATGACAATGCCACTTTTTTTGTTTCTAAATTCATATACTGCACAGAGTTTTTTGGCCGTATGCTTTCCAGACCTTTTCCCATTGGGCTCATTCGAGTCAGAAGCCATATGAAACATTGCCCTTTAGGTCAGTGTTTTAAAATGGAACTCAGATGAGAAAATATGTACTTTTCAAGGTAGTCAGTGTATACTGATTCTGCCCTTTGTGATCATGTAGAGAAAATAGTAGAAAAGACCCAAAGTTCTGTGTGGTTCTTGCCATTCTGAGCGCTGAAGCTCATTGTTGCGTTGTTCTGGATTTCCTCAGGCTTCCAGAGAGGACTGGTCTTTCCTCATACTAACTCCTATAGCAAAATCACCACTCTTCATCTTCCATTTTGTCTTTGTTACTCAAAAGCATTGAATGAAGTGTCTTTTTCTTCTTAGGTTTGTGCCGATACCAGAGTATTCTCTTGCCTCCCAGGAGTATGTGTGTTATTCTCATTCATGTGATGTGCTCCCCATGTGCACAGGTATTCCTATAGCCTCTGCCCCTTCTTGACCCGAGTTATTCCCTTTTTTTAAGATTTTATGTATTTATTTATTTATGCATACAAGAGCTGGGGTGTAAGCCAGAGATGTTAGGGATGAGAGGATTCACCAGAGACGGAGGGGGGAACAGAACAGGTGGATTGACTGAAACACACTGCTGAGGGGAACAGCCGGCGAGACAGGAGAGGTCTGCTGTGCCATGTGGGTTAGCTCCCTGGCCGGCTAGGGATTGAACTCTTGCTAAAGTGGCTACTGGTAGCTTCATAGTGCTGAGACTTAACCCCTTGCACCACCAGGAATAACCGACCCCAGTTATTCCTTAACTCCCCATTCTCTGACCTGTAAACCCTGTTGGCCTTCTCAAGATGGAAAATTACTGGATGGCCTGTACCTCTCTGTGGCCCACACATAGTTCATTGCTGGCCTTTGCCCAAATTATGCCACCCCATTTGGGATCACCTGACACCACTGTGATTAGTCTCATGACCTGGCAGCATCCCACCTGCCTACCCAGTTCAGTCTTGCTCCATCCCAGCTCCTCTTACAGCAGCCTTGTCACTGCCTCATGCCTTGTCAACCTCATCAACATCAGCCCTTTTATTCACTCAATGAGATCATTTGAGTACCACCGTGTGATGGGTAGTGTGCTGTGCAGAGTGAATAAAAATACAATCCTGTCCTCAAGGGACTTCAGCTCTAGTGAGAAAAGAAAGACAATGAAGAATAAATGGTCAACCATTTACAAACTATTTTAGATAATGTGGTAATGCCTAAAAAGTGAAAAGAAGTCATGAGGAGGGAAGAGAGGGTTGAAAATGCCTTCCAGAATTCAGACTTAGCATGTAAGTAACCCCTAAGGCAAAAAAGAGGTTGTTGTGTTTGGGAATTCAAGAAGGCTCCTCTCATCTACCCCCTTCTCTCACATAAATATCGCCGACTTTAGCCACTTGTACTGATTAATCCATCCCTAAGCTGCTGTACCCTAAGCTGCTGTAGGTCATCCTTTCGGCTTCGCTTATCTGACACTTGATTGTGTAGTCTCTTTTACTTTCGGCTCTGTGGAAGATCTTCTCAGGACTTAACTTCATACTTCATCTCTCCAAGAGCATCAATCACAGCTTTACTTATAGGAAGTACTAAAGAAACACTTGAATTCTATTCAGTTCAATTCTATTCAGTAATCAAATGTCTGATCTATGGTAGGTGGTACATGCTGGGTTTTTAATTCTGTGGGTTTGCTTACCTTAAAAAAAAAGCTTACTCTAACCATGAGGAAAATGTCAGACAAGCCCAAATTGAGGGACATTCTACACTATAGCTGACCTGTAGGTCTCAAAAATTTCAAAGTCACCAAAACTTGAGAAACTGTCACAGACCAGAGAAAGCCAAGAAGACATGGGGGTCGGGTTGACATTCAGGAATAGCAGAAGAACTAGGGCATATATGGTGAAGTTCAAATAAACTATGAAATAAGGCCAGTAGTACTATACTAATAGCGATTCCTTGGTTGTAACAAGTACATTAGAGTAAAAGAAGTTAATGGTAAGGGAAACTGGACGACAGGTATGTGAGTTGTTTTTGCAGTTTTGTTTTGTTTTTTATAAATCAAAACCATTCTGAAACAGCTTATTTAATTAAAAATAAGTGAATAAATAATCAAGACATGGTTCCTGCCTGCTATGAGTTTATACTCTGGTAAAGGAAACACACATCTAAATACATATTTTCAATACAGTGTAATAAAAGCAACACATCAAGTATAAAAGTAGTCCAAATGAGGATATGATTACCTCTAAGGATTTAGGGACAGATTCCTTGCAGTAAGGAGGAGGGAAATGCCTGGAGCTAGGTTTTGAAGAATGACTGGGAGTTTGAAGAATGTGGCAAACAAGCCTAGACAAGGTTAATTCAGGACTAGAAAACATCATTTGACAAACATGGAATATTTCAGCTTTGACAGAGGGGAAGAAAGAAAGAAAAGAGAGGAGCGCAACCTGGATGTTTGCTTTGAATTATGGTAGAATATGGGTAACCTCATCTTTATGACTGGGATCCAACTGCCCATGGCAGCTGGTCCAAGGGACTTCAGAGCATTGTGCACCAGGATTCCCTCCCTTCAGCCTCCACCCAACTGTTGAGGCCATCTGTTTGGTCACCTCAGACTCTATAATACCTGAGACAATTTCTGAAGGTAGATGGATCATCAGGAAAGGCATGAATTCAGGGAACCACAGGAGAAGGAGACTTAGGAACTAAGGTCAAGAGCTCAATGGTCAATCATGGATCACTGGCCCCAAGCTGGACAAGACAAAATGTCTGCCACACCCATATCTGTAAGTGAAGAAGGTAGAAGGTAAGTCCATTGAGAAAGGGCTTTACTCTGTTGCTGCTGTGTTCCCAGTATCCCAATGCCTGACTTAAAGTTAGTCCTCAAAAAATATTTGAGTGAAGGAAAAGACTGAGGGTCTGGGAGCTCTCTGCCACCAATAAATGAAGCAAAATGAGAGCCTGACCTGGAACAGTCAACCCACCAGTCAGAAAGTGACCCACTTCCAACAGAAGGATGATCTTTCGAGTTCCGTCTCATGGGAATAAGAACAGGAGGTCTGAAAAGGAAAAGGCTGCTAGGGGGCAGCTAAGCCCAGAGGAGACCTTGAGGTGGAGGAGTGTCTCAAAGGGCCATGTGGAAGCTGGTGTAATAGTGGAGCAAAATCAACAAGTGAGCCCAACAGGTAGTGCATAAGACCCCTGGTGTCAGAATAGAGAAGCATATGTCCAAGGTGAAGCAACAAACCTGAGAGAGAGAGAGCATTCTCACTGGCCCTGAGAGTGAGAGTCAGAGAACTTCAGATTTTCCAGATACCGCTTCCAAGAAGCCAATCACGCTATGATGCCAGTGACCTACAGACCTAAATATCCTTTCAAATGGGGGTAGTAACTATGACGATCTCATGGGTTTGTGGTGGGGCTGACACGAGATTATCCACACAAAGTGCTCTGCACAATGCTGGGCACCTAAGTGCTCCATAATTGTTATTTTTGAGGTTGATGTTTTATTATTCTCAGTAGATTCCTCTGAGAACTCTACAATCCTTATCGCTCCACGTGTATCTTAGCATTAAGCACCCCATAGCTTAGCAAGTCTTTGTTCCTAGTGACCAAAAGAAACCCAATTCCAAAACTATCTCTGGCCATAACTGGAACAAACATGTTTGGTGTCGCCCAATGGGGTCCTTAATCCCTAGAGATGATCTCCCCTATCAGTCCAACAGGGAAAGTTCCTGCAGACTCAGACCTATCATTGATTATGTGTGGTACAGCTCAGGGATTTCCTGGTTTGGCCAACCTTAATTCAGACACCAGGCTGAGATACAACAAAATGAGCTGTGGGCAGCTGAGCAAGGCAGAGGCTAGGAAGGAAGTTGTGAAGTGAAGACACACCTCATCCAGCCACACCCCCAGAAAATGGTACAAAGTTCATCTTTTTACTTTGTTGTTTAATCAGTGGTTTCATACAATTTATTAAATTAGCATTATTCATTTTTTAATGGGTTGCCTGGATATACAGTATGATATAATATTCAAAAGTATATAAAGTTAGAGGCAAGCCAAATCCTTTAGCTTCAGTTACCAGTTTCTTATGTCGCCTTCCAGAAATAATCCATTCAATGAATATATGAATATGGTGAATTCAAGCATACATATTTAAACATACATATTCAAATATATATTTGTGTATATACGGCAGACCCCCACTTTACGATACTAATCAGTTCTACAGGCTCAGTTGTGTAGTGAAAATGTTGTAATGTGAACCCGATAATACATTGATATTGAGTAATTTGATCTAACACAGCATAATTTGAAAATTCGGACACATAACTAAGCTTATATAAGACTGTGATTTATCCAATAAAACAACAAATCTACTGTGAGAATTTCATTTTTATTGACATTAAAAAGATGAAACTGAAAATAAGTAAACTAACTTAAATTGGAAAAGGTTATTTCAGAATCACTTAAGTGAGTTTACTAATGGTTAGGGTAGAAAACAGATTCTCAGGCCAATTCACTAACTTTTACACCATCATCATACTTTTTAATAATTTCTTGTCTCAATTGCAATTTTCTTTTTAAAATGCGTTAGGACTCATGGTTACAGATTAGCACAACATTTTATGCATTTCAACAATAATCATTCATATGAAAGGATAATTAAAGACTAAAACACAAAACATTTCTAAACTTTACCAAAAAAACACAGACCTACATGACAAAAGATTGTCAAAGAGATAAGTCAGTTGTGATTGGCTCATATGTTAACTCATCTGTCCCACCCATATGGTCTAGGTGACTGCAACAGTAATGTAAATACTAAGTCATTATGTGGTTTATATTTTAAAAGGAAAGGCTCATTGCACAATGATTTGATTACATAGTGGACCCATAGTAAAGTGGAGGTCTACTGTGTGATACAACATTCAAAAGGATATAAAATTAGAACTAACAGTTATCAGTTCTTATGCAGCCTTCCAAACATGATCCATTCTGGGCCTCCCTGGTGGTGCAGCGGGTCGAGCACCATGCTGTGAAGCTGACAGTAGCCTCTACAGTGTGGGTTTGATCACAGCTGGGGGCACCACATGGTGCCCCAGACCTCTCCTTTCGCACCCGCTGCTCCCCTCAAAAGTGTATTTCTGTTCTCTGCCTGTTCTGCTCCCCACTCTGTCTCCGGTGAATCATCTCACCCTCCTGTGCCTCTGGCCTATACCCCAGCTCTTATATAAAAATAAATAAATCTTTAATAAATAAATAAATAAACAAAAATCCATTCTATGAATATATGAGCAATCAAGTATATGTTTTTAAACATACATATTCAAATATGTGTATATGGACAACTGATCCTTGAACAATGTGGGTCACTTATATGTGGATTTTTTCCAAAAATATATTGGAAAAATTTTTGGAGATTGGGACA